ATATACTTTGTTAAAGAGTTACATATATGTAAGAGTTATACATATGTATATGTATATACTTTGTTAAGGAGTTATCGTTTCGATACGCTTATGAATTAATCACGCGAATTAATAAGTTAAATTGCTCTTATATTCGTATTAGTAAATGCATATGTACAGCAACATTTAGTATCATTTAATATTGAAGAAATACGAAAAAATACGGAGCGACGCGCACCACTACCTGCCCGTACGAAAGCTATGAGTTGAATGGTAGCGCGTACGGCGGTCGTAAACACGACGCGCGCCGTGTGTATACAATGGAGCGCGCTACCGTGACGTAAACAATTTTCAAGGCTACGCCATCAACTACGGTCTGGCTACGACGAAATGTTACAAACAATATTACAAATAATATTTAACGAAACGCTATACAGTGCCTTTTAAAACTGAATATTAAATAATATAATTATTAGATTTTAAGTACCTTTCGAATGCTCTGTTGTCGCATATTTGTTCCTGCATTTAGTAACTTTGTGATGATTTAACTAAGAGATAGATATGCAGATATCTTATGTATTTTATTTGTGTATAATAAATAATTGTTACAATAAACGATTAGTAGCGGTCGCTATAGATATTTATTAGGAAATAATGTGTTAATATATGACTTATTGCTACATTAATATAACAAATAAATGTACTTTAAAAATTAAAATATTATTTAAAAAATTTTTAGAGGAGAAATCTAATTCGCAAAGAAATAAATTTAATAAATAAGATATTAAAAAATGACATAAATTATAACAACATACCACTATTGTTCATCAAAAAAATTCAAGAAATGTCTATTTTGTTAGTATTGTTAAGTGTGTATTCTAGGAGTATTAATCCCGATGCTCGAAATTGTTAATGCCGTCTCAGCATTTGCCAAATTTTTGCAAAATTTTTGCAAGCATATATATTGGGGACTTTTGTCGCTAGTAAATTAGACAAATTACATATTTATGAGAGATGATTTAGGCTTGGCCAGTACTTTTGTCGTTTGTATTCTTACTAGTATCATTAGAATATTTGTTTACTGGACGCATCTCTGTTCATCTTTATTGTTGAATAGGTCTCTTAAGGAAATTTAAAAAAAGAATCTTTAATAGTACTATTATTCTTTTTAATATATTTAATAATATACTTATTAAAAATAAATTAATATATATAATTTATAGGATATCTAGGATCAAGTTGGTACAAGGAATCTGTTGATAAGATTTTGGATTATTTTAAAGATTATTTTGTAATAGTTAACAAAGTTAGTTAATAATAAAGGGATAAAAGGCGTTTTTCTGAATTTGTAATGGGAAGTATATATTGCTCTGGAAATAAATTGCAAAATTAATTAACACCTCGCTACATATATTTTTTATATTTTTATATTTTTCTTTTACTCGTAACAGTTTAAGTAGATAATAACAACTTTGTAGATTATATCACAGTATAAATAGCTTATATTAAAGAAAAGATTGTAAGATATTTTATTTGTGAGATATTAAAATTTCTATTCAATAATCGTAATGTACTTTCTATATATAAAAATTTGATAACTTCAAGTTCCTTTTATTCTTTCTTAATATTAATATTTTGAGGAGATAGAAAGAATTATGTTCCATAATAAAAAATATTATATACAATAGCTATAAGTTTTAAATACTAATTCTCATTTGCTATGTATAACAAAACTGTTTTACTCAATTTACATGCATAATATCGTATATGTTGAATTAATATTATCTGAAAAATATTTTTATTTTTGATAGAATATGATATATAAAAGCGATAAGATGATTAAAATTATTGGTGCGGCCAACAGGTTTATTAATTTATTTTGTGCGATATTATTATTAATCTTGCAATAACGTTGGAGTCATATATAATACGTACTAATGTATATATATGTGTACAAAAAAGTAGAAAAAGATTGTTTTCAAATATGGATTTTAGTTTGCCGAAGTTTTCTCTTCATTTCCACGCGGAATTGCGCGACACGCATCGTTTAACTTATTTCCGTGCATGATATGCATTGTCGTCTTTATTTTTCTTTTCTTCCGATTATTCCATTATGCATATCACGCAACAGTCATGTCATCAATTTAATCTTTCCGGGATGATAAAGTCAAGGCAAGAAGCGTTATTGTAGAACAGCGGGCTGTTGTCGCAGCGTGTGTCCTTTGTTGCACGACTACAATCATCCCCTGAAAGGTACGCCGTCGGTTCGTCCATTAATCGTTCATTTCGCGATTAGGAATTTATTTTTCTTGCGTGTCTTTTTACGTTCTTGCGTTCTTCTTACTTCCGTGGTCGACCGTTCCGCTGCATGAAGCAACCCTTGAAGGAATTTAATCTCACGTCGATTTCACCCTCCTCCAGCTGAAATGTGTTTATCGTTCGTTACCGTGCCGCATGAGTGAAGTAGTATATTGGATACGTATTATATTGTATATTATATAATGCACGTATTGCTCTATATTCTATACACTGTCGATCAAAAGTTTAAGATAATATATAAATTTAACAATATTCCACTGAAAGCTGTTAAAAAATATTTAATATTCTTTAGTGCTTTCCTTTGTAAAAGTGTTTTTGTAAAATTCTTCGATATTTTATTATTTTCATTTTTATTATAAAATATTAAAAATAAAATAAGATAAATTACAATGTACAAATTTGACTTTATTTTATATACTAAATATTTCCAATTAACGGTCTTAAACTTTTGTCCGGCGATGTATATGACATAGAGCAATGTATGCAATTTATATATGACAGTATCCAAAGCAATTAACGGAATTGGCATTCCCGTCCATACCCTTACCTGATCGAATAAATAGATCTCCTTGTAACAGGATGGCGACACGCATTCCCGAATGCATCGTGTTTTGGCGACGCTATCGGTTCTATGCTGTGATAGCATCTTGCAAGCGCCGCTCTCCTCACAAGCCTGTTCGAATTGTCTGAAGAGAAGCTCCTACGAATAATCAATTACAATCACATTAGTCTGACACGGTTGTCTAATTATAATAAATACTTAAATACGAAAAGTCTTATAATAACAACTCCAAAAATAAATCGCTTTCAAATATACGTTCCATCGTATTCCATGCGTATATTTCGTTTAAAATAAATCACGTAGGTTATTTTGATAAAATGTTGCAAATGGATTTTGCGATTAAATTCGAAGATACGAATGTTTATTAATGTTCGTTTTTATTCAAGAGAGCCATTCTGTTACAACACAGTATATGCGGTATTAATAAAACAAGCGCTTGCATTCCGCGCCGCGGCGGGATAAAGCGGAATGCAACAATTGATTCGTATATGTCGGAAGATTAACCCCAATTAGAGCCAATGTGACTTCCAGCACGGCATGCATGCGCCTTTAATTTCCTTCGCGAATAACTCCACGTCTGCCTTTCTCCGCGTAAATAAAAGCATTACGGCGTTCGCGAGAAATCTTTGAAGGAGAAATATTTGCCGAAACGTAATGCAGGAAGATAACACGTAACGTTTCATCATTGATTTCCTAGAAAATATAAATGTCACGGAATACGCGAATGTTTCTGCTGAACTTTGCACATTTAAAATATTAATATAAATTAACGTGAAATTACTAAAGTTAAAATCTATTAAAAAGAATTTTCTATTGACTTTTCTTTTGACCGACGGAAGTCAGCGAATTATTCTTTAATATTCTAATATATCTTTTTACGCAATGCGTAAAATATATATTTTTTTCTTTTTGTAAAAAGATTATAAATTTTTAAAGCCTATGTATATCTTACCGATTAAGTCTGATGGAAGAGAATTTTTTAGACTTTGTTTCGAATCGGGCGAGTAAACTTGTGCCGTGGTTCTGAATGTAAATATTCGTTCATAGTTACTGTTGAATTCGTATACACTTTGACCTTTTAGTCGAATATTCTCTCGAGTTAATGTAAGATCGATCGGTTCCTTCACTGATACTTCTCTTCACCAAACTTCGCTTTATTTTTTCGGTCGTAAGCAATAACAATCGAATGTAACATCCCTCTCGTCTTGTCTCCAAATCTCTATTCTATTAATCTTTTTCAGATAAAGATACAAATCTTCTTTTATCAATTCAAATTTTTTAATACATTTTTTTATTTACGTAAATTGGATTAAAAACAATTCATATTAATTGATGGTTTACATATAGAGACAGGTTAGGATAGGATTTTTTTACTTAAAAATCAGTGCACCAAGTCGGCTTAGCTTTAAGCTATCGTTCTCCGGCATTGTAAAACTGTCACCCTCAAATGAGGGTTGTCCCCCATAACCTGTATCAGCGTTCAGCACGTACCACTCGTCAGGGAGGAATTTGATGGACTATATGGACGACTTACGTTCTTAGTGGTTTCCTTGTATGGGTACTCCGGGAATGTAAAGGTCTTTGCGAGGGACCCTGGTCCTTCCTGGAGGTGGCCGACGACGAGGATCAGGCTGAGCGCGAATACCACCCCCGCCGCCATGTTGAGCGGAGTCGGCGATCGATCAATAGACCGGGGTGGCGCTCCGGTTTCTCTAGCCGCTGAGTGAAAAACAGAAAACTTTCTAATGAATCATTAAGAAGCGACCATTAATTCGTAGCCAATATTTCATTAAGGTCTATAACCCTCGAAGGCATTTGATAAGAGCAAGCAAATACAACTCGGGACTCATATTTTAATTCTTTTCTTGTTCACATTTATAACAAATCATTTAACTTTTTATTTATTTTTTTCTAGTTAAAACTCGTTACCAGAACTCGTGTTTTTGACTATACGTCAAATTTAAAAATTTCATACTGCCCTTTCTTTTGCAAAATAGTCAAATATTTTAACTATTTTTTGCTACCTCCGATTAATTGAGTCTCATTCCTCAAAGTTTTATCTTGCATTTTACATAAATTCTTGTTTATTACACGTCTTATCTCTGTTTTCACTACTTTACATTTTTACTTCGTTTTATTTGGCATTATAGCAGCAGTTAAGCATTAGCATTATTGCTAACTTCTCGCGTCTTATATATATATATATATACATTTTGCTTTTATTATTATACCTTGCTCTTTGTACTCTCAACCAAATCATTGTACACAATAATAAAATTATTATTATTACAAACATGTATAATATATTTTTATTGCATTACAAAATTCTCCTGTTAAACAACAAAATTATTTAAATTAATATTTCTATTAAATTATAAAATATATAACTCAAGTTAAAAATCACGTTGATTGATCTCTCTTTCTTTATGTAAATATTTAGCAGTAGTTGGCAATAATTCCTCGCGTAAACGTCAATATTTGTGTTTATCAAACGCCGAAATGTAACCGTTACGTTTTTATTTTTGTAAGATGCGTGTCCAATAAAATTTGACTCTCGCGAATTTCCTGAACGGCGCCGTGATATGCGTGAATTCACCGATAACTCCATAGCGCAGCTGCGATATTTGCATAAAACGTATCGAGGCGTATGCACCAGAGCGCAGTAGCATTTATCGTTTCGAATGTGCATACGAATGCTGGACGAGACGGCGAACGTTTTTGCCCGGTTAGGCGTTGTGCACCACCAATCCCGAATTCCGCGCGCGGCTTTCGTGCCATTAATTCGAGATTTCGGCGGCGATTAGCAACAGTTCCGGTTCGCCCGATATGTTCCTCTTGTCCCCTGCGTGATGCAACATTCTGCTAGTTGCTACAGATAGCCCGTGCAACAACGTGAAGAATTGTTGCGTCCAGAAAATAGCTTGTCCTCCACTCCCAATTGAATCAGAATCACTGATAACCGTCTTTATTTCTTTTCAGAAATCAGTATTTATCAGTATTTACATGCTATTATAATCGATATAATCGAATTAATTCATCCAATTAATTTTTCGAGTTTTTCTCGAATTTCAGAAGTTTGTAATCGCTTGATCTAAAAAAAGAATGATCTTACAAATTTCGAGGCATTTTAATGTATAAAAGATTTAAAAAAATTTTTTTAATTATTTATTAGAATAAAGCTTCCTTGATAATACAAAAATTCAAAATTATGTCTAATAATAAGCGACTCAATTGTAGTATAATTGAGGTTAAAATCAAGAAAATGGATCATTTGTTCCTAGGCAATCTTCTAAAATTGCATTACCTGCATGCTATAATTAATGGAACAGGTTTCATTACACGAAACATAATATTCTGGTAGGATAATGAAAGAAGACAAAACTAATTTGATGCACACATACATAGATCATTTTTCCTTTGACATAAAAGCTATCCAATTTGAGAACAACAATGAATTTGAGAACGAAATTTGCTTTCGCAATTAAATTTGGTGAAACGTTGTGTTGTAATGCTGTTATAATTATGTTTCACGAAATACGTTTTTAGAATATCATCATTTATAAAAAATGCACGTTAAAGAATGCGACAACGTTGCAGAAAATGGCGAAAAGAAATGTTTTAATTATGCGGATTAAACGGAATAAAATGCATCTTTTACACATATGACGTTTTATATAAATTAGGAACGCTTGTTTAAATTCGAGACTATATTAATTTGTTGTATAATGCATCGCATTTTCACAATTCATGAACCTATATTGTTATTGATAATAACGCGATCATTTTTGTTGTTTATTAATCTAATATAGTCTGCTTAACTGATATTTTCCTGGTTGCTTGTGTTATAATTACCATATCGATTGGACCGATGTATTATAATTACCCAGGTGTTAAGCTCGGATACAGACTACTTTTTTGTCTCGTTGTAATTACCTCTTCTCGCTCGATTGAAATTCATAATTAAACCGTTAGATATACGCTTGACATAAAATTCGTTGCTGCGCATGTCGAAGATTAATTGAAGATTCTGATTGTAAATTAATTACATCTCTCGCACAACGTAAAACGGCGGAAATTTCTGACACAAACTATTTTCCATGTTAAGTAGTCTGTCTTAATAATATAAAGCTAAT